GTAGTGGTCGACTGTTTACTATGACCTAATATAGTTCTATATATGTTTAATATGGCTTTAATATAGACATACGCACGACTAATGCAACCACCTGCAAGGGACTATGCGACTGCTGATCTCGTCAGGTTTTATCGCAGTATGCGCTATACTGGCCTAGGACCCTGAAACGCCTTACCCACTGAAATAATGGCATGACACACTCCCACCTTAATCAACGTGCTCAGTCACTCAAACCTAGCCCACACGTAGGATAGAATTCAAGTTTGGACCTGGATCAATCTGCCATCAGGCTTAAGGCCCCACCAGTTGCACCACGGTCCAACATTCTGTCAACTGCAATTAAAAATAGCTGCAGTTACGTTTAATTGGCGTTCGCCAAGCCAGTCTGATTGCGGATAATGGTTATTTCATTATCAGTTCTCGTCAGCCGAGTGGTCGTTTCCTGCTACCACACACAAAAAGTCCATATCTAACTTCCAAGGCAAAGCAGCACGCCCATATTTCCTCCTCTAGTCTGGACCGATGAATGCACGGAATTCCCAATGTATGAGGCCCAGTGCACTTTAAATTCAAACTAAAAACTCTTACTATATACAATACTATAGAACCGCCAGCATCTTACTGATGTAGTACTCTTGAGGCCATCCAGACTGACTGGTTCCTCACTGGAATCATCCACGATTATTAGTTCCTGAAGGAGAGATTTTGAAGTATTACTTTCAATGCTCTCGATTGTGCTAATCAGGATGGTTAATGGCTCGTTGTGAGTGACAATAATGATTGAACTTTTGAAAAGGTCTGGTCTCCAATGAGAACAATTGCTCAAAGTCAAGTTATCCAAATAGCCTTGCAGCCGGCCGCTCCAGTTAAGACATTGAGAGGAACTCGAGCTTCCTTTGGATAAGTCTAAAATGATGAGTAAGTTAGAAAACACAAATTACGATGTTCGGTTGGTTTCAAGAAATCGCCGCCTATTTCGAAGTTAGCGATGAAGACGGTAAGAATAATCTTTACTAGCATCAGCAAACTGACACTCTCACAAATAAGGACCCAATGTCTTCTCCACATTGCCCGCAGACAAAGTCGGCTGATGGGAGGCCATACACATCTAAGTAAAGGGAGAAAAGGCCTTTTTAAGATAGGTCATTTTGCGAACGCGTCTTTTAAATAGAACAATTAAAAAAACAGGTGATAAATGTACAAGGACGGAAAACGCAATCGTCTACACAGCTATATGTCTTACAAGTTAATGAACGACATGCTTTCGAAACTAACATCATTTGAAGTAGAAACCTT